ACTCCATTCCTTACCACCTGCGTCATCTTGGGCAACAGTATTGGTTTCCTAGTGCTGCTGTAACAAATACTGCAAGAGGATGGCTTTAATGAACAGAAATTTCCCACAGTTCAGGTGTCTAGAAGTCCGATACCAAGATGTGGTTCTAGAGGGAGTCCTTCTTTGTCTATTTCAGTTTCTAGTAGCTTCCAGCAGTCCTTGAGGTTCCTGGACTTGTATATGCATCTACCTGCATCCTCCTCAGTAAGTGTCTTTCACTCCTGCGTCTGCATGCACATCTCTGTCTAATTGTCACGTAACTCAAGTGATTAGATTTAGGATCCATCGTAGACCAGTAGGACCTCAACTGATCACATTACATTAGATTACATCAGGAGAGGGTTTAGGATTCCAACACCTATTTTAGAGGATGTGGAGTAAAGCCGTGTGCACAATAGAAATGCTCTGTAATGTTTTGAAGTCTGTAAACTTACAGAAGCAGATTGCCAGGCCTGTCTTTTAAGTGCCTCTGGATGGGCTCGAATTCCCAACCTTTTGGCTAACAGTGGAGCACTCTACTATCTGTGCCACCCAAGGCCTCCTGTTACTTTACCTAAAATAATTTGGCCTTTGTCCTTAGTTTCTGAGAGATAGCTCTAAACCCTTGGGATTTCCTGAGTAGTTGAGGTGCTTTGTTATCTAGACCTCTAGACCACACCTGGGAGCTCTGGTAGCATAGTGCCTAAGGCACTTGACTGCTAACCAGAAGGCTGGCAGTTCAAACCCACGAGCCACTCCTCGGAAGGAAGGTTGGGCAATCTACTTCCATAGTGATACTGCCTCGGCAACCCAAGGAGGGGTCGCTATGAGTCCAACTGGACGGCACATAACAACAACAGACCACGCCTGGGAGTTTGCCCTAATGAGTAGGGGCTGGACTGACAAGAACCACCACCACATGGCCTGTTATCAGCTGACCTCAGGGGAAGTGGGAGGTGAGCCAATCAACCATGACTGAAGTAATGAAGCCAATAAAGACTCTAGACACAGAAGCTCCACTGGCTTCCTGGCTGATGAAAGATTGATGTATGTGGCAGAATAGCGTGTCCCTTGGGACATGGAAGCATCAGGCTGGTAACCCTCCTTGGCGTATGTATGCATCTCTTCATTTGTATCCTTTTTTGTTACAATAAAGCCATAATCATAAGTATAGCACTTTCCACAAGTTCTGATTTGTTCCAGCAAATTATTTAACCAAAGGAGTAGTAGGAGCTGGCAGGTCAAAAGTGATGAAGCCTAGGGGAGGCTCCTGAGCTTTGCAGCTGGCATCTTGAAGGGGTAGTGGGAAACTCCAAATTCGTAGTCAGCAGGTCAGAAAGGAGGTTGTTGAGTGGGCTCCCAAACTTGCAGCTGGTGTCTGCCTATTTGGCAGTATGAAGGATGGTGTCCTTCCATCTTATGAAGTCTGGCTAGGATCCAAGGAGTACTGCATGGGCAGCTAGTGGCAGAACTTAACACAGAAGTAAAAAGTGGAGCTTTCTTATATTTGCATAGCTGAGAACAGAATAGTGGGAGTCTGAAATGTCAACACTACTGAAGAAAAAAAAAAAAAAAATCCCTAACCCACTGCCTTTGAGTAGATTCTGATACATAGCGACCCTTTAAGATAGAGTAGAACTGCCCTATAGGGTTTCCAAGACTTTAGGGAAACAGACTGCTTCATCTTTCTCCCATGGAGCAGCTGGAAGGTTGAAACTGCTAGCCTTTTGATTAGCAGTCAAATGCTTTAACCACTTTGCCACTAGAGTGCCTTCCATACAACTCAGGGTCACAATTCAACCCATAGCAGACAAGTTACTTATGCCTGGTTTCCTCACCTGTAACATGGCAATGATAACAAATTCTACATCCGAGGCTATTAAGAGGATCCAGTGAGTTCATGCAAGGTGCTCAGAGTGGTGCTGTAAGGCTGCGGGTTCCTGGTCCCTCCCTCTCTGTCTACCCTAGCCTGGCCCTCACCCACTGCCTTGTTCCCCTGAGCCCTCCCCTCCACACTAGGAACAGCAGCAGTGCCCTGTGCACAACACTGAGGCATTGGGATCCTGCTCTCCTGCCCCAGCATAGTATGGAGTCCCTGAGTGGTGCAAATGGTTAACATGCTCGGCTGCTAAGCAAAAGGTTATGGGCTCCAGTTTACCCAGAGGCACCTTGGAAGAAAGGCCTAGTGATCTGCTTCCAAAACACTAGCCGTTGAAAACCCTGTGGCACACAGTTCTACTCTGACAGATGAGTTTGTCATGAGTCAGAGTCAACACTACTGGCATTCCCTTCCTCCCCCCATGATCACATAAGGTGTCCAATCTCTGCTTACACCTCTCCCAGACTGGGCGCTCACTCCCATCTTGCACATCTGATGGGAAGAAGCTCTTCTGACCACAAGGCTGTGAGGCCCCAAACCACTCAGCTCACCAGGCCCTGGGCCCTGTGGAGATTCAGAAGCAGCAGCCGGGCTCCGTTCTCCCAGTCCCTTTCTTCCCCACCCTGGCTAAAGGGTTTCCTATGGCAAAACATCACTCACCTGCCTCAGTGGCTTCCCCTGCCTGCACTGAGAATAAAAGCCATATTTCCCTGCCAAGCCTCATGCAACTTTCCAGCCATGACTTTTCCCTTCCTCAAACCCTCCAAGCTCATTCCTACCTCAGGGCCTTTGGATTTGCTGTCCAGTCTGCCTAGAACGCTCTTCCTCCAGGTTTTCACAGGGCTGGCTCCTGTCTTCCAGGTCTCATCATATAATGTTACTCTTTTAGAGAAGCTCCTCCTGACCTCCTATGCTAAAGTCCACCTTCTCCACCAAGTCACTCTCTATCCCTGTTCCCTTTTCTGTCCTCCACTGGAATATAAGTTCATGCAGATAGGACCTCGTCTGTCTTGTTCACATTGTTTTCCCAAGGACTATAACGATGCTTAATGCGCAGCAGAATTTTTGAATATAGGAATGAGTGAATGAATGATTGAATCAATCAATCAAAAGCAAGTGAGATGTCACAAAATCCTGCCCGGTATTCCAAGCAGAAACTGACTCTTTGGCAAGAGTAACCCATGGTAAAGAAAAAGAAAAAAAAAAAAAAGATACTTACTCCAGGTGCATTGAAATAATTTTATTTATTTATTTTTTTAAAAAAGTCATCCCAATAGTCTCTACCTCATTCCCAAGTCACTGCAACCCTGGGTGGGATGAGATTTACACATTCCCAGATAAACCTCAAATGACCTTTGTAATGTAGCCCCTTGTCATGTTGTGCTTCCCAAGAGACCTAAGAAAATCCCACGTAAAAAAATACTTTACAAGGAATATGCTCTAATCTCAGCTAGAGAAAAATACAGCTTTGGGGGGCTGGGGGCATGTCACAGGGGCTGTACCCAAAATGCATAGGCAGGCAGGAGGTTCACCAGGGAGGGGAGTAAGGGAAGGTCAAGTTTGGGGTGAACAGTCCCCACAAAAAGCCAGAGAAATATTGCATATGAGAAGGCCTGGTGGCAGCAAGGAACCCCACCAAGGCCTGGCTGCATACATCTGGGAGGATGGCAGAGACCTGGAGTTTGAGGAGGAAAGAGTGTGTCGGTCAGAGTCAGGATGTATCGTCCTTCGTCTGGAGGCCCCTGAGTGTCTTGTCCAGCCCTGCTACTTGACAGAGCCCATAGAGGCTGGGCCACTTGCCTAAGATCACACAGAGGCACCTTGGAAGAAAGCCCTCCTGATCTACTTCCAAAAAATCAGTCCCTGAAAACCCTATGGAGCACAGTTCTACTCTGACACACATGGGGTAACCGTGAGTAGGGATGAACTGGACAACAGCTGACTACCTTGCATATTGTTGCCTTTGGATGGTAGAGCTTGTTCCATCTCTCCTATCTTGCTCTGCCATGTCTTTTTTCGTCTCTGTGCATCTCCCCCTCTTTCCCCTCCATCACTGATTTGGGTATTGGAGAGGAATTGTATGGTTACATGTATCATACATGCCATAGTTCCATGGTTTCCAATCTTTGTTGAAATGGCAAGTGAGTGGAACCTCTTAGTCCCAAAATTATCCCCTCCCACATTGAGGGATTTGGGCTGAGAGGCATGTGTGCTGATGGGTCAATGACCCCAGGCCCTAAAAAAGATGCAGGAGGAGCTGAGGCCAGAAGCTGGACCCTGAGCTTCTCAATGAGCTCAGAACCACAGTCTCAAATCACAGAAGCTTTGGACAAGAGACACTGGAATGAGAGAGTCGTGGACTTTCTGAGTACCAGTGCTTCCTGGGATCACAGATGCTCCAGCTCAGAGTCTTATGAGTAGGAATACAATCCTCAAAAACCGGCATTGTGGAGCCTGGGAAAGGGTTGAGCTCTCACCCAGAGCAACATCCTTCCTTGCTTCATGCTATCCATATGGTGTGCCACCTCCCTCAACCTTACCTTGAATCCTCCCCATGTAAGGAAACTCACCATCTGCACAGTGTGCTGATACGCATGGTAAGCCTGTGTGGATGTATCCCCAGCATGTCCATAATTGCATCAGCTCGCACTTGCTCACCTCCTCGGATAGGGAATCCCCTTTTCCTGTAGGGAACTTATCCTTCCTGGCAACTCATTCCAGTCTCATGGCTTTGGCTGGGAGAAGGCACTCCCTACACTGAGCTGGGCATTCCCACAACCTGTGACCCTTCCAAGGAAGTCCAGCAGGGAATCCTGGCTGAACAGCCTGTCCCTGATACCCCCCCGAAACACACACAAGCAGGGCTCTTCTGGGCATCTCGGAGACCCAGGTTGACAAAAGATCCAGAAGACATTCCAGCTGGAGTACACAGACCCCGTGCCTGGCACCCAGTCTCCACAGAACTAGGGAACAGAGACACAATCCCATCCCTGACTCAAAGCCTGCTGGGCAGACAGATGCCCGAATGAGTGGCCACTTTTCCGAGTGGCTACAGGTCTGGGAGCCAGGATCCGCCCCTTGAGTGTTGGACCACAAGTTGACTTCAGAGCATGCGGGGGCTGCGGGGGCCTGGTGTGCGCGGGGCCCGGCTGGCCTGGGCCAGTGGGTTGCGGCTGACCACCAGCTCCAAGACGTCACCCGCCTCAGCTAGGAGCGGCACTGCTAGGCAGCAGTCAAAGTCCCGTGTGCGAACGTGGTTGACCTGCACAGAGCACAAACCAAGGACAGAACAGGTCAGCTAAGCCTGGGGTAGGAGATTGTAGTGTTTCCTAAAATGCCAGCCCCATCCTTACCCAGACCCAAGGGCAGGCAAATCACAACACACACTTATGGAGGAAATCATTCTTCATTTAACTCTCTTCTAATCTTTATCACAGAGAAAGTCTTGTTGTTGTTGTTGTTATTTGCCATCGAGTTGGCCCCGACTCATAGCGACCCCTCCTTGGGTTTCCGAGGCAGTATCATTACGGAAGTAGGATTGCCCAACCTTCCTTCCGAGGAGTGGCTTAGGAAGGTGCTAATACATCTTTCTCAGACTCCAGCACTTGCTTCTCTCCTTTGTAACAGAGAAGCACAGGCCACACACTGAGAGCCTCCTGGCTAGAATATAGTGCCATTATCTTGTTTCCATGCATGTGTATTTTACATACACCTTTTATTTTTATTTATTTATTACTTTTTATTATGATTTGGTAAAAGTTTACAAAACAAATTCATTTTCCATTCAACAGTTCATACACATTTTGTTTCATGACATGGATTGCAATCTCCAAAATGTAACAGCTCTCTTCCCACTTCCCCGTGTTTTTTTTCCCGCCTCTGTGTCCTTTTACTTTAAGCAAAGGATACTGGATTTTCATTCCTAATTGTGAATACAAGGAGCTTTAGTGGCATAGTGGTTAAGGCACTGGGTGGCTAACCAAAAGCATGGCCATCCAAACCCACCAGCCATTCCACAGGAGAAAGATGAGGCAATCTGCTTCCATAAAGATTATAGCCTGAGAAACCCTATGGGGCAGTTCTACTCTGTCCTACAGGGTCTCTATGAGTCAGAATCAACTCGTTGGCAGTGGGTTTGGTTTTGGTTTAGGTTTAGTTGTGAATAAAAGTCTCCTTTTAAAAATGTGTTTACATTTTAAAACTCCATCCATAGAGAAAACATACTTTAAGTAAGTATTATCCCTGGGTGGTGCAAATAGTTAATGCTCTTGGCTGCTAACCAAAAGGTTGGAGGTTTGAATCCATCTACAAGAACCTTGAAAGAAAGGCCTGGCAATCTACTTTCAAAAATTCAGCCATTGAAAACTCTATGGAGCACAGTTCTACTCTGACGTACGTGTGGTCACCATGAGTCAGAATCAACTCTACAGCAACTATTTTTTTAATAGTACAACCCAAACCCACAGCCACTGAGTCAATTCCAACCATAGCAACCCTTTAGGACAGGGTAGAACTGCCTCATAGGGTTTTCAAGATTCTGTAAATCTTTACAGAAGCAGATTGCCTCATCTTTCTCCCATGGAGTTTTGGTGGGTTTGAGCCACCAACTTTTTGGTCAGCAGCTGAATGCTTTAACCACTATGCCACCAGAGCTCCTTTTACAGCATAAATATGATGAAAATAATATCTAGGGCACCTCAAGAATAGCTGGAGTGTTGGGAAGAATGGCCCCAAGTAGCTAAGCCCAGGGCACCTCACAGTTTTCCACCTGCTTACCCACACCCCCTTTGAAGACTAAAGTGCACCTGACTCAAGCCATGGTATTTTCAATCACCTCACATGCATGTGAAAGCTGTACAATGAATAAGGAAGACCAAAGAAGAGTTGATGCTTTTGAGTTGTGGTGTTGGTGAAGAATGCTGAAAGTACCATGGACTGCCAGAAGAACTAACAGATCTATTCTGGAAAAAGTACAGCCGGAATTCTCCTTGGAAGTGATAATGGCCAGACTTCGCCTCACCTACTTTGGTCATGTTGTCAGAAGGGACCATTCCCTGGAGAAGGATATCATGCTTGGTAAAGTGGAGGGTCAGTGAAAAGGGGGAAGGCCCTCGACAAGATGGACTGACACAGTGGCTGAAACGAAGAGCTCAGGTATATCAAGGATTGTGAGGCTGGCACAGGACTGGGCAGTGTTTCATTCTGTTGTATGCAGGGTCACTATGAGTCGGAGCCAACTCAACGGTACCTAACAACAACAAGAACAACCCACACCCAGGCCCCCTTAAACTTAGCCAGGTCAAGTGACACTTGGGCTCCAGGCTGTGAAGGCAAGTGATAGTGTTTGCTTGTAGGTGAAGGCAGGGAAAATCTATGTACAATTTTCCAGGTCTTCCTAGGCTGTGGAGACTGAGGAGGCTATGTGTTTTAGAGGGACAATTGCAAGATGGTGGGTTCTCTTGTTGAGAGGAGCAAGACCCACACCACTTCACAAGGGACATGCAATGTAAGCAATGAGTAAATTTTTGTGTATGTTAATCCCTGAGATTCAGGGTTGTTTGTTACTACAACATAATTTAGCTTAACCTAACTGATAAAACTGTGATTAGGGAAGCTGAGGCTCAGGGAGAGGAAGTGACCTCCCAAGGTCACTCAGCTTGGGTAGAAGTGGGCTCTTTCCCCACCTTAGAGCTAGAAAGCACAGTCTGTTATTTAATGAGCCAGAGATGGCCTCTGTGTATTGGTCCCAACTTGTTTACTTCATAACAAACTGAGCCCCAAAAAGCCAACTGGTGCCAAATTTGTATTTGTACATATTCAGTTGTTTTAAAAATAGCCCAAAATAAGCAGATTTTTGGCCGCTTAGAGCAAATAGTCTGTTTGTTTTACACACTCTGCAAAACTGCATGCAACATTAGTTAGCCCTAGATAAGATAAAACCCTGTTATAAGGACCTCCAGCTGCATCTATCCTTCAGAGCCTACCTTGCTGCAGGAGGACATCACCTAGGGACACATAGCTTTCCCTCCACTCCCTTCTCCTCTTCCTCTTCCTAGGGTTCTCATACCCTGGATGACACAAACAGTTAAGCACTCTACTACTCTAAAGTAGATCTAAAGGATCTACTTTAGAAAGGTCACAGCCTTGAAAACCCTGTGGAGTACAGTTCTATTCTGCACACAAGGGGATGCCATGAATCAGAACTGACTTAATGGCACCTGGTTTAGTTTTCCCCTTCAGGTGGCTCCCTGTCCCACTTGCCTCTGACAGATCTCCTGCTGTGAGGGACTGCTCCCTACATGCAACTGTCAATGTATTGAACCCCAATAAATAGCTTGTTGTGCACCACTGCTATCTTGTGGCCATACATTTTTACTTGATCAATCCAGAATTCCCTTGAACTCACTATGTGGCCCAGCCCATTGTGGTGCCCTGCCCAGCATCACCTGGAGGACCCTGTCAAAGGGCCGGAGGCCCCCGCGCTGGGCTGGCCCATCAGGTCGCACAGTGTGAACAAAGACACCTTTCTCCAGTAGGCCATCTGAGACGCTGAACCCAAAATCATTCCTCATGGGGTCCTTGTGCAGGGTCACCTGGAAGCAGAAGAAGGGAGGAATCTCCTGCAACTCGGATCTTGGCCCCACTGAGCCCAAGTCCCTTGGTCTAGCATTTGATACCTCAAGGACCCAGACCCCACCCCACTTGAGCAACTGCACCCCCCACATCTACTGCCTCAGCATCCTGCCTTTGCCCCTCCTCCCCTTCTGCAAATCATCCAGTTCACAGCATGAAATCTCCAAAGAATTCTGTAGAAAGGTTTTTCCTTTCCAGGTCTTGCTTTCAACAAGGAGAGTTTTGTGGGGTACTACTGTGTTTTTAATACCTTCTAGCACTTATTCATCTCCCACTTCAACCAAAAGGCTTCTAGTGACTATCAAATTGGGCTAGAATTTTTTCTCTCCTCTGTGTTTTGTTTTTCTACATAGTAACTTATGGATGTCAAGAGATGCTGGCTTCTTATTTAAGATGGCAATGTAAAGGTTTTTTTTTGTTTTTTAACATAAATTATGTAAGTGTGGAAACAGTGAGTTTACTTAAAGAAAAATATTAGGTCCAGTGTGTGTGTGTGTTTGTGTGTGTATCTGTATGTATGTACATTATGTATATACATATGTGTGCATATATGTGTATATGTATCTATATATATAGGGATGTGTATGTCTAGCTACACATATACATGTGTGTATAAGTGTATGTGTTTATGCATATATGTGTGTTTGCATATATATGTATGTATACATGCATCGCCTAAAGCATTTGACTGCTAACCAAAAGGCTGGCGGTTCAAACCCATCAGCCACTCCTCGGAAGGAAGACTGGGCAATCTACTTCTGTAGTGATACTGCCTCAGAAACCCAAGGAGGGGTCGCTATGAGTCAGATTTTACTTAACAGCAGTAAGTTTGTTTTTTGGGTTTTTTTTGGGTTATATATGCATGTATGTGTATGTATGTATTATGTATGCATGCTAAGGAACCCTGGTGGTGCAATGGTAAAGTGCTTGGCTGCTAACAAAAAGGTCAATGGAAGCTCAGAGGAAAAAAGACCTGGAAATCTGCTCCTGTAAAGATTACAACCTAGGAAACTTTATGGGACAGTTTTCTCTGTCATACAGGGTCACTAGGAATTGGAATTGAGTCAACAACACACAACAACAATATGTACAAATATGGATGCATAGATATGTGCATGTGTGTGTGTGTGTTTGTCTATCACCCAAGTAGTGGGAATTTTAAAAAGCTAGTACAAAAGCCTTGTTTTACGGTTGAGAAGAGCAAAGCCTGCATAGGAGTAGAGATTCTTCTAGGACTAGATGGTGAGTTCTGATGGCACCAAGACATAGAACCAAGTCTTCTGCCCCTACCCTAGCACCCACCTTGTGCATCTCCAAAGGTGTTGGCAGCAATAGCTCCTGCATCTCTTCAGGGGGAGGGCGGACCTCCCGGCTCCTCCTCCAGGGCTGGGTGCCAGGCCTGCTTTCGAGGGCCACATTCTGCACAGCACCCGTCATGATGGATGCCTGTGGATGACACAGCCCTTCCCGCATTCACGCATTTGTTCATTCAGTCATCCAGCACTGATCAACACCTACTAAGTGCCAGCCTCTAGGGGCACATAATGAACAAAACAGACACAGTCCCTGCCCACTCAGGGCTCTCCATCCAATGGTGAAGGGTCATTAATCAATCAAACAATAAGAAAAGTAACCATCCATAATTATACCACACTTAGCCTGTACTAGACTCAGCTCTAAGCACTTCGCACATTTTATTTTCTACAATACTGTGACGCAGGTAAACACTATTATTTTCTCTATTTTACAGATAAGGAAAATGAAGCTCAGAGAGACTAAGATTTGTAGCTAAAATATGGCTGTAAGTTGAAGCTCTTAGCCACTCTGCTATAATGCTTATCACACAAATAATTAAGATAATATTGTACACTGAAGTAATTGTTACAGAGATGAGGCATATGGAAGGTAGAACAGACAGATTCAATCCAGTGTGAGGAGTCAGGGAAGCTTTCTTGAGCTGAGATCTGAAAGATGTGCAAGAAGAGGGTAAGGAAAGAGAGTTCCAGGCAGAGGGAAGAACAGCATGTGCAAAGATCCTGTGGCTGGAGGGAGTACAGTGTGGGGTGAGCCTGGAGGCAAGGACTGTAGCCTACAGGGAGAAATGTTAACTTGATCCTGAGAGCAACAGAGAGATACTAGAAGATTTAAGCAGGAGTGGCAGACTTGAGGATTTTAAAGCACCTTCAGGCTTCTGGGTGGAGACTGAATAGCAGAGCGTGAGAATGGAGCCCAGAGAGAGACTTGTCACTGTAGTTGTCCTAGCTAACAATAACAGTGGTCTAAACAGGTGTGGTGTTACGAATTGAATTTTGTCTCTCAAAAATATGTGTTGGAATCCTAACTCCTATACCCATAGATATGATCCCACTTGGAAATAGGGTATTGTTTGTTATGATAATGAAGCCATTATCAGTTTAGAGTATGTCTTAAAACTAATCATTTGGGGGATACAAAAAGAGCAGATTAGGGACAAAGCAATCAAGTACCAAAGGGGAAAGACAGATGGCACGTGAAGATCACCAAGGAACCTAAGAATGCCAAGAAGAACACTAGCGAAGCTGACATGAGGATTTTCCCCCAGAGTGCACAGAGAGAAGGCTTCCATTAGAGGTAGGGCCCTGAATTAGGACTTCTAGCCTCCTAAATTGTGAGAAAATAAATTTCTGTTGGTTAAAGCCACCCCACTGTGGTCTTCTTATTACAGCAGCACTAAACAACTAAGACAGCTGGCAGCAGGTGGTGAAGGAGCAGAGCTGTGGCACGTCCAGGAGGTAAATTGGCAAGTGTGCTGAAGGAGGGGCACACATTGCCCTCAGATGAGATAAGCAATCTTGTGGCCCTGAGGGAAATTCATTCATGTTCAGACTGGGAAATCTACCTACGGGGAGGGTGGTGCTAGGGTTGGTGGGATAGGAAGATGTGATTCTCGATAGTCACCTTATACAATCTGTTAGGCACAGAGCTATCTCCATGGTCTAGAAACGTCTCTTCTAATAGCCATCACAATATCAGTTTTCACAATTTGTATCTGATACTGGGTCATGGGGATTGAGTTTTGGTCCTCAGGAGATCCCTCAAGGGAAGGTAGATTATGCTAACAGCTGTCTTAGGGCCAACCTATTGGGTTGGAGTGAAAAGGAAGATAGGAAAACACAACGGAGGGGTTTGAACAGAGAAGTGGAGAAGCCCTTTTTTCAGAGCTTAGAACTGGTCCTCACCTACCTGGAGGGTCCAAAAGAAAAATGACTCAGAATCTTGGGATAATAGAATTATTAAAAATTAGAATTCGAGATCCTTGGTATCAGACCCTTGGACCCCTAGAATTATAAAATTCTAGGACTTCCAATTAAAATGTAGATTGAGCTGATGCAGGAAGCTCACACCACCCTCCAGATACACAGATGTAGTAGATTACATTTTTTTAAATTAACACCCAAAAGAACAAAGAAATTTGGAGCCAGATATGAGCAGAAGTAGAATCTTTTGGTTTAGGAAGGTAATAGAACTAGATATATATATTAGGGGCTGTAATACGGGTTTAGGGAACAGACAATAATATGTCAAAGGAGGAAGCTGGGGGTGTACCATCTCATTGTTCAATGCGGACTAGAAAATGTCTTCCCATCAGCATAGAGGCACAGAGGGGAGCCACCAGAACGGTGTGTGTGTGTGTGTGTGTGTGTGTGTGTATCGGGGGAGCAGGGTAGTCACTTGTGAGAAACTCATGCTTGACCTCTGCATGAGTATAGGCCACAGTTAGCCTTCCATGAATAGTGTAGAAACACTGAATTGAGAAATTAATGTTAAAAACATGCCTGGAACTGGTAAATATAAAAAGCCCAAGCAAAGACATTTAAGAAACTACTTCAGAGATAATTATTGCCTACAGAAATAACTACTGCTAAAAGGAAGCTCAGTGGTGAAATTTTAAAGCCCACCTGCCCACAGACATAACAAGTAGAAAAATTCACATGCAGGGAACTAAAAATAATAGAAAAACCAAAATTAACTTTTAAATAAGTGCCTTTAGAATGTTCAGAAAATAAAAAGCAAAAGACAATATTAAAAAAGATGAATATTTGAAAAGTAAAGGGAAATTATAGAAATAAAAATTAAAATCCATTATCTAGGAGATGGGCTAAAAGTAGACTAAATGCAGCTGAGGAGAGAGTTAGTGAATTGGAAGACAGATTGAGGAAAACAATTAGAAAGCAGGGAAAATATGAAAGAAAACTTAAGAGTTATAGGAAATAAAATGAGAAAGTCCAATGAATACCTAATACAACTGCCAGAGAGCTGATAAAGTAGAGGTGATATTAAAATATATATATAATGACTGGGAATTTTCCAAAATATAAGGAAATAACAAGTCTTCAGATTGAAAAGACAGACTGAGTCTTGAATAAAGCAAATTAAAAAACAAAACAAAAAACCCACACAGACACACTGAAGCAAAACAGCCAGCCATTACAGAGAAGGAGAAATCCTCAAAGCCACTGAAAAGAAAATACATTACTTTTTTTTTTCTGTTTTCTTTTCTTTCTGCCTTCCTATGTGTTACATGAACAGGTTTAGGCTTCCATTTTGATCTTTAGAGTTTTTCAGAGTATTGCTTTATATTGTTTTCTTGCTGTATCTTCTGAGTATTATAATACACATATGACTTAGCATAATATACTGGTAATGGTATTGTACCATGTCAAGTGAAGTGTGGAATCCAATTTAGGTCCCTTTACCTTCCAAAATACTAAATATTGCTTTGGGTATCCAATGGTATTGTAATTTTTGCATCATCCATCATATACAATTTAGAAAATTTGTGAGGAGAAGAATAGTCTTGTAAAAAATACATTACTTTCAAGGAAACACTGAACCTAATAGTAGCTACAATTGCCAGAAAACAGTGGAATAATATCTTCAAAGCCTTGAGGAAAATTTTCATTTCATACCCACTTAAACTATAATTCAATAAAAACCAAACCAAATCTATTGTCATCAAGTTGACCTTACAGGACAAAGTAGAACTTCCTCATAGGGTTTTCAAGGCTATAATCTTTACAGAAGCAGACTGTCACATTTTTCTCTTATGGAGCAGCTGTCGAGTTTGAACCACCAATCTTTTAGTTCGCAGCCAAGTGCTTTAACCACTGGACAACTAGGCCTCCTGATAATTCAATAGTTAGGATGAAATGAAGACGTTTTCAAAATGTAAGAAGAGTTTACCTCTCAAAAACCCTCACTGAAAGAACTTCTAAACGGAACTAGGAAGGAAAGAGTGGGATGCAAGAAGCAATGGTGAAAAGAAATTGGTCAAACATTCTGGTAAAACTAAATCATTTTATAGTCCACATGCACTAATTTTGAGCAAAAAATTCTTCCAAAAACTTGGAAGAGAGGAGATAGTTTGGAGGGAAGTTTCTACTACCATTCTACAAGTGTCCTAAAGTGCTTTTCTTTTCAGGAGGAGGGTAATATTGATTAGATTTTATTAGAAAAACATAAAGTTAGGAAAAATTAAGGTACGGTCAATTGGCTTTAGTCTTTTAAAAAAGTCAGTGTCATGGTACATAATGAAATATTATTCAGTCATAAAAATATTGAAGTTCTGATAAATGCTACAACATCAATAACCTTGAAAACATGATAAGTAAAAGAAGCCAAGCATGAAAGTTCATATATTGTATGATTTCATTTATATTATATGTCCCAAGTATTCAGAAATAGATTGCCCACTCTTCCTTACATGGAGTAACTGGTGGGTTTGAACTGCCAACCTTCTGGTTAGCAGTCAAATGCCTTAGGCACTACGCCACCAGAGCTCCTTATTCAAACCCACAGAAGCAGGAAATAAATAGTGGTTGTTGGGGGGTAGGGATGGAGAGAGAAATTAGGAGATAACAAATAGTGTTGATGAGTATACAACATTGTGAATATACTACACACCACTAAATTGTACATTTTTAAATGGTGAATTTTATGTTATGTAAATTTTATATTAATTTTAAAAAAACTTTATAGACTCACTATCAGTCAGAATTGACTCAACAACAATAGGTTTCCTTCTTTGATTTGGTCATTAAAAAGTGAATAGGATATAATTAAGAGAGAGTTTAGGGATATAATAACCAGATGCCAAGCATGGATTAGACATTGGTTTGGACAAACCAAGTATAAAGGGCAATTTGAGGTCAACTGATAAAATCTGAATATAGTCTTAGAATTAAAAGAAATTAAAATACGTTGAAATGGAAAAATAGAGTGGTTAACTAAATAGTAAATTACAAAACAGTATATACATCTTGATCTCATCATCTTAAAAAAAGGCATATATACTCATTTATGTGGAGATCTTCAGGAGGTGGAACTGTTACTTTCTTATTTTTGCTTTTATATTGCTTATCTAATTTTGTACCATCCATGTGTCATTTCTGTAATAATAAAAAAAATTAAAACATGATTTAAGAATAATCACTAACATAATAAAAATAAAATTAATAATCTGTAAATCAGTGGTACAGAGAGTGGACAGGAATGAAAAATGTATCAACATAAAAGAAGGAAAAACAGGTGATTAAAAGAAATATTAAGAAAATAGAATAAAAAGAAAGTATAAAATTATATGCTAGAATTAAGGAGCTCTGGTAGCATAGTGGCTAAAGCACTTGACTGCTAACCAGAAGGCTGGCAGTTCAAACCCACCAGCCACTCCTCGGAAGGAAGGTTG